TGACCAGTTGAGAACCATTGCTTTAGAGTATGCTCAGCAGTGTGTAGTTGGGTGGTCAAACAATCTAGTATTCTGAATGAAGTGGTTTATATTTGGTGCTAAAGTTTGCATTTGGTAAGACACCGATTTTTTTTCCGTTTCGTTTTTTTCAAAGGACAGGCAGGCCGACAATGTACTGTCCGATTTCTGTGCTTTGATCAACTGATCTTTTTCTACTGAAAGTTGAAGGGGTTTGTCATCAGGCTGAAGCTCTACAGAAACAGATATTTTCTCTTGACCCACTGCCAGTGGGCTCATTGGATCGGAGTCACTCATAAAGGAGTCACTCAGATCCACTACGTCCCCTAATTTTCGGGACATGGCACGAGTTATGGCACACACAGGGAATAGCTGAACCGAATCCAGCGCAGTGGACTCAGACACACATGTGTCCACAGCTGGATCATTAACCACTTCGGGGGACGGAAAAACTTTCTTTCCAGCCAAATCATTACCATGAATCAGATCAACCCCGTTAATTGGTAACTGGGGACGCACAGCCACCTTAACCATATCAGAAACAAATTTGGACGTTAACTGAACTAAATTCAAGGGCGCCCGCAACACACTTAGTTTAACCCCCCAAGCCAAAATATCTGCCCCACTATACGACTGAGCTGAGAACGGCAAGACACCACCACGAATAATTGATTGTTTAGCACCTGTGTCCCTCAGAATTGTGATGGGAATTTGTTTTCCCTCACCTGTCAAAGACACAGAACCCTGCGAAATAAACGGCCTGAACGCCTCATCAATCGCGTTATCCTCCACGTTTGATGCCACGTTCTTTACGAACCCTATATGGAATGGCGTTCTTCTACCTACATGCTGCTCTTTTCTTTCTAGGCTAGGACAGTCGACGATGTGGTGTCCTCGCTCATGGCAGTAATAACACTCCCAATTATCAGCTATTTTGGTGCTACCACGGGGAGGAGATCTTACCTGTCTGTCACTTGCCACAGGCTCACGGCAAACTGGAAGATAAAAAACATTTTTATGAGTCAACACAAATTCATCTGCCAGTACTGCGGCAGCAGCAAGCGACACAACATTTTGCTCATTTAAATATGTGACAATTTTTTCCGGCAGTTGATTTTTCAAATTTTCCAAAAGAATAAGTTCACGCATGTCCTCCCTGGATGTGACATCTTTTCCCCTCGCAAATTCTACATAGGTCTGGTTGACATTTTTCTTAGCATTCCTACATTTTTGTCTGTATGCCTCCGGTACCAATTCATACGCTCGAAGGACTGTGGTTTTTACTATGTCATAGTCGAGGCTCTCCTCGACAGTCAGGGCATTACAGACTTCCTGAGCCTTACCCACCAATTTGCAATGTAACAACAGAGGCCACACTCTCTTTGGCCACTGCAGCATAACAGCGATGCGTTCGAAAGCATTAAAGTATGTATCCACCTCTGACTCTCTGAAAGGTGGAACTAATGCTATGTGCTTACTCACATCAAAACTGTTGTGGGGATTTGTGTGCGGTCTATGGGTAGGTGATTGACTGGATGGTAGAGTGGCTCCCCGCTCTATCTCCAGAGCTTTTACCCTTATGTGCATGGCTTCCATCTCCAACTCCTTGTGTCTCAGCTCTACCTCCCTGATGCGCAGTCAGCTGTAGGTCCTCTGTCGACATCCCAGCTTGGGGAGGCAGGCCTTGGAGTGGGGCGGACAAACCTGCGAGATCAACCACTTCGTGTTTTTCCTCAAATACACCCTTCCCGACAAGTTCTGCACACAAGAGGTCTTTTAACTCTTGTTTTTGTAGGCACAAACACATCATAAAACTGTGCAATTAGCACCAAATCTGCTACTGTGCAGTCATCAAGTCTCTCAATGGAAGGGTCCGTAGTAAATCATTCCAATTGACTCTCCATTCTGAATTCCAAAAAGAAAACTGTCAACCAGAGACCCAGAATGTACGAGAAGAGGAAATAGCCATGTTTACCCGACACGATGAAAAGAACGGACGATCCCGGATGAACCCCCAATTTATGTTACGCCCAGGTCTCGGGGAACCTAGGCGCAGCTCAAAACCAAAACCAACTAAGAAGAAAACAAACCTTACAACACAAAATCTTACCTAACCAAGAGAAAAAATAAATATTCAAGCTTCTTACCTACACTAACGTAAACAGGAGAAAACGATCAGTCCAAACGGGAAGAAAAAAACAAAAGGGGTTTGCACTCCGAAGACCATACATCTGTCTTGCAAAGGCAGGTAACGTGACACTGGCCCGTAGCCAGAGGAGAAGGACAAAATGTTATCAAGGTGCGCTCTCAGCACCACAGAACAGAATATACAAAAGGCGCCGCGTTGGGAGTAGGAGAAGCGGAGTCAGTGAGAGCGGCCGAGGAACTGCACGGCTGCAGTTAAATATCCTCCCGTCTCCCCAGGTGGACCAATCAGCCTGTCGAGGGCCTCCAATCAGCTACCGGGCACCACCTGTTCACTCATACGCAGCCACAGACACAGGAGGAGGAAGAAAATACCTGCACACAAACAACATAACGACCCAGGGTCGTAACAGGGGAGCAGACGTGTCCCCTATCCTTTTCTGTAGTTCTGTAGAGAGATTTTATTTGTATTCAGAGTCCAGTATGTGTTTCTCTACCTGTTCAGGGTTTGAGCCCTCATTCACACAGCGGCACTGCTTATGGGCTGCACTATTTCTACTATATTCTATTTTATTTACTTGTACTGTTGTATCTGTGTTATTGTGTTGCTCTGTTGGAGGAGCCTGTGACCTCAGATTTTCATTTTCATAACTAAACGGTAGCTATGCACACATGACAATGAAAGCCTTTAATCTTGATCTGCGCTAACCACTGAGCCACAAACTGGTTTCTGTCTCTTTCTGAAAGCAGCAGACAGAAAAGCTTTGTACACGACTGATTGGCCAAAACACAACACATCTTTATTTTTAATGTATTTTAATATAATGATTGGTTTTTAAATAATATTTTGTAAAGTTTGTATGTAATGTTTTATCATATTTATTTATATTTTTGTCTTTTACACTTAAATGAAAAAAAAACACTTCAATATTTGTTTAAAAGTCTTTCTATTTAAATGTATTTAATTTGTATTTTTATCACTATCTTGTTTTATTTATTTTTAATTGTTTTAATTTTAGTGTTTATTATTATGTTTGTATTATTATTTCTTACTATTATAATTGTGATGTTTTTTTATAGTATTTCTATTTAATTATTATTATTATTTTTATTATTATAATAATTATTATTCATTTATTCGTCATACGGTTAAACTAAATCTCTCTCGCCAAAAAAACCAAAATGAAAGCTCAGAGAGCGCTCCCGTTTCAGAGAGGTTTTATTTTCTTTAAATCTTATTTCATTTTCTGTATTTACATGCGTTTGATTTCTATCTGTATTTGTGTGTGAAGTGATGTTTGTAGCACTTTCCTGAATCACAGTGAAGATATTGAATCTGAAGCAAAAGCATATTTTCAGAATCAGAATTCCTTTATTCGTCCCAAAAAGTGGAAATCTACATTATTACATCAAAAGAAGTAAAGTGCAGATAAAGTGAAAAGAGTAGACTGTATATTCAAATACGTATATAAGTACACCACGGTTACAATTATTTATCAGCTGTGATCCTGAACAGACTGAACTATCTTGGCAGCAGGGAGGAAGTCTCTGGAACAGGAGGAGACTCTTCCTCCTACAGAGGAACCAGAGACGCTGAGGAACCAGAGCTGAACCAGAACCCAGCATAAAGAGGTTCAGTGAATGTGGTTCTGAGGGTGTGGAGGTGGATCAGTCTGTCAGAGGAGACTCTGTAGAAGGAGAGAGAGCCAGCAGGATGATCCAGATACACTGCTACTCTACCAGAGGAGGAGGAGGAGGAGGAGGAGGAGGAAGAGGAAGAGGAGGAGGAGGAGGAGGTGGAGGAGGAGGGGATGATGTGTGTTACTTTGTTATTGTGACAGACAGAGTAAAGACCATCAAAGCATCTCAGACTCCAGGACTGATCATTCCCTCCAAACCTACAGTTATCTCTGACTCCTCTCCTGCTGATTCCTCTGTAAGTCACTGATATATAAAACCCTCCTCTCCACTCGACCTCCCAGTAACAGCGACCAGTCAGAGCTTCTCTGCACATCAGCTGATACCAGGAGTCAAACCTCTCTGGATGATCAGGATATGGCTGCTCCTCCTCCACACATGTCACCTTCCTGTTGTCCTCAGACAGTTTGAGGTTCCTGTGAGCTGTGTTTGTGTCGAGTGAGAGTTCACAGGAATCTGAGGAGAGGAACAGCAGCAGTTATTAATCTATCAGCTGTTCATTTATTGACACTTTGATGATGAAGGTTACATTTGAAGATGGTGGCTGCTTTGTTTTCATGAATCAAATTAAACCACACTCACACTTCCTCAGACCGGGTCTCAGCCATCGGACTCCAGCAGGCTCCATCCTGAAAGAAGGGGGGGGGGGGTCAGAGCAGCATGGAAACATGGACATTACATCACTCTCACACTCAGAGCTTTGTTATTCTCCACAGATGAACCTTCATGTTCACGGTATCATTTTAGATCAGTCAAACATCTTATTAGCCGATAAATAAAGCTCATTAACTTCAATGATTATTGATCAGAGAATAAGATGTCAGAGTTGATCAGTGTTCAGTTAGTGTTCCCTCAGCATCTGCTAGCAGCAGTCAATGAGTGTTTCTACCTGGAACCTGAAGAGGGAAATACATGCACTTTATTTAAAAGCACCTTTCATGCAACGCACTTTGGGTTTGCTTTGAGCAGTGAAAGCTGCTTTACACATACTTTATTATTATCATGATGAATTCACAGGACATCTGATAGTTCCTCGTTGTTTCTAAAAGAGGGAGGGGCCATTTAGTGCTTTAGAAATAGAAGAAGCACTTCAGAATCTATTCAGATACAGGAGCCAGTGCAGATCGGGTCCATCAGGAGTGGGTGATCTCTGCTGTGTTTAGGTTGGTGGATGGATTTTGACTCTAAAGCCAAAATGATAAAAGCAGTTTTGGTCAGCAAATTAAAATGAGCATTGAAATCGAGATCAGAATCTAAAATGATAAAGATGTATTTCTTGTTGTGGTGTCTTCTCTGCAAACACAGAGCTGCTGCCTGAGTCTTATCCACTGTCTTCAGTTCCCTTCAATGTTTTTGTCTTGGCATACACACAGTGGAGGAGAGACGTGTTTGATTCCCTGCAGACTTTCTACGTTTACCCACAAAGAAATGACCAGTCTGTCATTTTAATGGTAGGTTTATACAAACAGTGAGAGAAAGAATATCAATAAGAACATCCAGAAATGTACATTATATAAAAGATAAAAATGTATTTGCATTAAACTGAGTGAAATAAGTATTTGATCCCCTTGCAGAACATGTGTTAGGACTTGGTGGAGAAACCCTGGTTGGACACACAGAGGTCACACAGAGGTCACACAGAGGACACACAAGACGTCACACAGAGGTCACACAGAGGTCACACAGAGGACACACAAGACGTCACACAGAGGTCACACAGAGGTCACACAGAGGTAACACAGAGGTCACACAGAGGACACACAGAGGTCACACAGAGGTCACACAGAGGTCACACAGAGGTCAGACGCTTCTTGTTGGTCTCCAGGTCTGTGCACATCTCAGGAAGGATGTTGGTCCACTCCTCTCTGAAGATCCAAATGCTGCAGGTGTTGAGGCTGATGCTTGGCCTCTGGAAGCTTCAGCTCCCTCCACAGATTCTCTATGGGATTAAGGTCTGGAGACTAGCTAGGACCCTCCCTCACCTCAATGTGCTTCTTCTTTAGACACTCCTGTGTTGCCTTGGCCGAATGTTTAGGGTCCTTGTCCTGCTGGAAGACCCATTTTTTTTTGTGTCAAATTTCAGACGGGCCTTTGATGTTCTTCTTGAGCAGGGGGCCTTCAGCCGCTGCAGGGTTTGATCCATTATGGTGTAGTGTGTTACCAATAGGTGTCTTGGTGACTGTGGTCCCAGCTGCCTTGAGATCATTAACAAGTTCCTCCGTGTAGTTCTTGGCTGATCCCTCACCTTTCTCATGATCATCAAAACCCCACGGAGCCAGATCCTGTGTGGAGCCCAGACCGAGGGCCATTGACGCTCAATTTGTGATTCTTCCAATTAGAAACACACACATTATTCTTCTGAATAATGGCACCAACAGTTGTCTCCTTCTCACCGAGCTGCTTTCTGGTGTCTTTTAGCCGATCCCAGCCTGGTGCAGGTCTACAATCTCACCCTGAGGTCCTTAGACAGCTCTTTAGTCTCGCCCATGGTGGAGAGGTTGGAATCTGATTGATTGATTCTGTGGACAGGTGTCTTTTATACAGCTAACAAGTTGATATCAGGAGTACTTTTTTAAAGGAAGATGAATCATTTGTCTGTGGGAGCCAGAATCCTTGTTTGTTGATCAAATACTTATTTCCCACAGTTAAATGCAAATACATTTTTATATTTTATATAATGTCAATTTCTGGATTTTCTTTTTGATATTCTTACTCTCAATGTTTATATAAACCTACCATTAACATGATAGACTGTTAATGTATTTGTCTTTGGGCAAACTGAAAATATCTGCAGGGGGTCAAATACTTATTTCCTCCACTGTATATGTTTATAATACCTGAGCGTGTCCAGTCTCCAGAGAGGATCCTCCAGTCCAGCAGACAGCAGCTTCTCTCCTGAGTCTCCTGGATGATTGTAGCTCAGGTCCAGCTCTCTCAGATGGGAGGGGTTGGATCTCAGAGCTGAAGCCAGAGAAACACAGCCTTCCTCTGAGACCAGACAGCATGACAGCCTGAACACACACGAGTTCAAACAAGAGAGTAAAAAAACCAATAACAAATGTTATTGAAGCAGATGCAACAAAAGGTTATGAGTTCATCCATCATTAATGTACATCGCAATTTAACTGGCTATAAGTTTAACATGTTGATGAACTCTGACCTGAGAGTCTCCAGAGTACAGTGTGGACTCTCCAGTCCAGCAGACAGCAGCTTCACTCCTGAATCCTGCAGGTCGTTGTTACTCAGGTCCAGATCTCTCAGACTAGAGGACTGGGAGCTGAGGACTGAGGACAGAGCTTCACAGCTTCTCTCTGACAGCTTACAGACACTCAGTCTGAGGAGAGAAAACAAGCAATATGTTAAAACAATTACTTCAGGGTGTTCTTTTTCATTAATGACTGCCTTATCGCACATTTTTCCTTATTGCAAATGAGTAAGAGTTTACTGCTTAACATCTGTGGGGCCAATGTGATGATATACTGTCGTCTCTTCTCCACACTGGCATTAATTATTGCTTTTCCAATCAAAGTCTGATTAACAGGATGAGTGTTTTACATCAACTGTATTTTATTGATGTTTAATATAAAAGAAGACTTTGCTTTTGGTTACCTGACTGATTTAAAAAGAGATAGAGAAAGAAGGAGTTTGTAAACGAGCAGAATGAGAGAATGAGAGAGAGAGATAGAGAGAGAGATAGATAGAGAGGAGAGAGAGATGAGAGTAGAGAGAGCGAGAGAGAAGAGAGAGAGCTAGAGGAGATCGAGTAGGGAGAGAAGAATAGTAGAGAGAGAGAGAGAGAGAGAGAGAGAGAGAGAGAGAGAGAGCAGTGGTGAAGAATACTGAGTGAGAAAGATATACATTTAAAATAATTTAAGAAAAAATAACTAATCTGACCTGAGAGTCTCCAGAGTACAGTGTGGACTCTCCAGTCCAGCAGACAGCAGCTTCACTCCTGAATCCTGCAGGTCGTTGTTACTCAGGTCCAGCTCTCTCAGACTAGAGGACTGGGAGCTGAGGACTGAGGACAGAGCTGCACAGCTTCTCCCTGACAGCTCACAGACACTCAGTCTGAGGAGACATACACATATAAATAAAAACCTCTCCATTCACCCTTTGCATTATTGGAATAATCAAACATAATGATCATAAAACCACATATTGGAGAGACAAAGTGTGACCTTTGGTCTGTTGTATTAATAACGTAATCCCCTGAAAGCAATTATTTGAACTGATCGAGATCATTTTGCATAATAATTGGATTTAAATGTAAAATATATAGAACAAATCTCAAGTGAATAAGGAGTGCATATGATGTATCTTTCTGGGCTAAATAGAACTAATATAACATATACTAAATGATGTTACACAGGGTCTAAAAATTGAAAACACAACTGGGTGAAAAAATAGTTTGAGTACGGTAAACGTAAAAATCTCATCCAAACAAAAACACACAAAATGGATTCATGCACCCACTTCAGGTCCTCTGGTTTTCTAGTTCCTGGAACTTTATGGTCAAAAAGGGGTTTATACAATCTGAAATCCAGATCATCCAGTATTCATACATGTTATTCTAGCTTTTGCTTTTACTGAAGCGACTAAGATACACTGCAACACCATGTTGAGAAGAGCAATTTGGGGTGAAGTATCTTGCCCAAGGATATTTCAACATGTTAACTGTAGGGAGTGGGGATCGAAGCTTTAACCCTCCCATTGGTACTTGCCTATTTCCTCTCTGGGCTACATTATATATAACAATATATATATATATATATATTAGAAAGTAGCTTCATATTTTGATAAATCCTGACCTGAGAGACTCCAGAGTACAGTGTGGACTCTCCAGTCCAGCAGACAGCAGCTTCACTCCTGAATCCTGCAGGTCGTTGTTACTCAGGTCCAGCTCTCTCAGACTAGAGGACTGGGAGCTGAGGACTGAGGACAGAGCTGCACAGCTTCTCTCTGACAGCTTACAGACACTCAGTCTGAGGAGACAAAATAATAGAAATAAAAACCTCTCCATTCACCCTTTGCATTATTAAAGTAATCAAACCTAATGATCATAAAACCACATATTGGAGAAACAAAGTGTGACCTTTGGTCTGTTGTATTCATAACGTGATCCCCTGAAAGCAATTATTTGAACTGATCGAGATCATTTTGCATAATAATTGGATTTTTTTTGTACAACTAAATTGCAAAAATCTCAAGTGAATAAGGAGTGCATATGATGTATCTTTCTGGGCTAAATAGAACTAATATAACATATACTAAATGATGTTACACAGAGTCTAAAAATGGAACAACACAACTGGGTGAAAAAATAGTTTGAGTACGGTAAACGTAAAAATCTCATCCAAACAAAAACACACAAAATGGATTCATGCACCCACTTCAGGTCCTCTGGTTTTCTAGTTCCTGGAACTTTATGGTCAAAAAGGGGTTTATACAATCTGAAATCCAGATCATCCAGTATTCATACATGTTATTCTAGCTTTTGCTTTTACTGAAGCGACTAAGATACACTGCAACACCATGTTGAGAAGAGCAATTTGGGGTGAAGTATCTTGCCCAAGGATATTTCAACATGTTAACTGTAGGGAGTGGGGATCGAAGCTTTAACCCTCCCATTGGTACTTGCCTATTTCCTCTCTGGGCTACATTATATATAACAATATATATATATATATATATATTAGAAAGTAGCTTCATATTTTGATAAATCCTGACCTGAGAGACTCCAGAGTACAGTGTGGACTCTCCAGTCCAGCAGACAGCAGCTTCACTCCTGAATCCTGCAGGTCGTTGTTACTCAGGTCCAGCTCTCTCAGACTAGAGGACTGGGAGCTGAGGACTGAGGACAGAGCTGCACAGCTTCTCTCTGACAGCTTACAGACACTCAGTCTGAGGAGACAAAATAATAGAAATAAAAACCTCTCCATTCACCCTTTGCATTATTAAAGTAATCAAACCTAATGATCATAAAACCACATATTGGAGAAACAAAGTGTGACCTTTGGTCTGTTGTATTCATAACGTGATCCCCTGAAAGCAATTATTTGAACTGATCGAGATCATTTTGCATAATAATTGGATTTTTTTTGTACAACTAAATTGCAAAAATCTCAAGTGAATAAGGAGTGCATATGATGTATCTTTCTGGGCTAAATAGAACTAATATAACATATACTAAATGATGTTACACAGAGTCTAAAAATGGAACAACACAACTGGGTGAAAAAATAGTTTGAGTACGGTAAACGTAAAAATCTCATCCAAACAAAAACACACAAAATGGATTCATGCACCCACTTCAGGTCCTCTGGTTTTCTAGTTCCTGGAACTTTATGGTCAAAAAGGGGTTTATACAATCTGAAACCCAGATCATCCAGTATTCATACATGTTATTCTAGCTTTTGCTTTTACTGAAGCGACTAAGATACACTGCAACACCATGTATAGAAGAGCAATTTGGGGTGAAGTATCTTGCCCAAGGATATTTCAACATGTTAACTGTAGGGAGTGGGGATCGAAGCTTTAACCCTCCCATTGGTACTTGCCTATTTCCTCTCTGGGCTACATTATATATAACAATATATATATATATATTAGAAAGTAGCTTCATATTTTGATGAATCCTGACCTGAGAGTCTCCAGAGTACAGTGTGGACTCTCCAGTCCAGCAGACAGCAGCTTCACTCCTGAATCCTGCAGGTCGTTGTTACTCAGGTCCAGCTCTCTCAGACTAGAGGACTGGGAGCTGAGGACTGAGGACAGAGCTGCACAGCTTCTCTCTGACAGCTTACAGACACTCAGTCTGATAAAGAGAAAACAAGCAATATGTTAAAATAATGAACAGAATATTTAAGTCATGATATATGAATGTTTCTGTACTTACAGAGCCTTCCTGGAGGCTTTGACCACTGGCAGCAGCCTCAGAAGAGCCTCCTCTGAAGCAGAGTATTTCTTCAGGTCAAACACGTCCAGATCTTCTTCTGATGACAGTAAGATGAAGACCAGAGCTGACCACTGAGCAGGAGACAGATTATCTGTGGAGAGACTTCCTGAACTCAGGGACTGTTGGATCTGCTCCACTAGAGAACGATCATTCAGTTCATTCAGACAGTGGAACAGGTTGATGCTTCTCTCTGGAGACAGATCCTCATCCATCTTCTTCTTGATGTACTGGACTGTTTTCTTGTTGGTCTTTGAGCTACTTCCTGTTTCTGTCAGCAGACCACGTAGGAGTTTCTGATTGGTCTCCAGTGAAAGACCCAGGAGGAAGCGGAGGAACAAGTCCAGGTGTCCATTTGGACTCTGTAAGGCCTGGTCCACAGCACTCTGGTAGAGATGTGAGAGTTTAGGTTTGACTCTGAAGACTTTAGGCAGCCTGGAGGTTGTTGGTTCTTCTGACAGCAGGTTGATACGAGAGTTGATATATTTTCGATGGACATGAAGAGCAGCCAGAAACTCCTGAACGCTCAGATGGACGAAGCAGAACACCTTGTCCTGGTACAGTCCTCTCTCCTCTCTAAAGACCTGTGTGAACACTCCTGAGTACACTGAGGCTGCTCTGATAGCGATGCCACACTCTGTCAGGTCGGACTCATAGAAGATCAGGTTGCCTTTCTGCAGCTGCTCAAAAGCCAGTTTCCCCAGAGCCTCCATCATCTTCCTGCTCTCTGGACTCCAGTGTGGATCTGTCTCAGCTCCTCCATCATACTTGACGTTCTTCACTTTGGACTGAACCACCAGGAAGTGGATGTACATCTCAGTCAGGGTCTTGGGCAGCTCTCCTCCCTCTCTGGTTTTCAACACCTCCTCCAGAACTGAAGCAGAGATCCAGCAGAAGACTGGGATGTGGCACATGATGTGGAGGCTTCGTGAGGTCTTGATGTGGGAGATGATGGTGCCGGCCTGCTCCTGATCTCTGAATCTCTTCCTGAAGTACTCCTCCTTCTGTGGGTCAGTGAACCCTCGGACCTCTGTCACCATGTCCACACACTCAGGAGGGATCTGATTGGCTGCTGCAGGTCGTGTGGTTATCCAGAGGCGAGCAGAGGGAAGCAGCTTCCCCCTGATGAGGTTTGTCAGCAGCACATCCACTGAGGTGGACTCTGTGACATCAGTCAGGATCTCAGTGTTGAGGAAGTCCAGAGGAAGTCGACACTCATCCAGACCGTCAAAGATGAACACGACCAGGAACTGATCGAACCTGCAGATTCCTGCGTCTCTGGTTTCAGAGAAGAAGTGATGAACAAGTTCCACCAAGCTGTACTTGTTCTCTCTCACCACGTTCAGCTCTCTGAAGGTGAATGGAAATGTGAACTGGATGTCCTGGTTGGCTTTGCCTTCAGCCCAGTCCAGAGTGAACTTCTGTGTTAAGACTGTTTTCCCAATGCCAGCCACTCCCTTTGTCAGCACTGCTCTGATTGGTGCATCTCTTCCAGGTGAGGCTTTAAAGAGGTCTTCTTGTCTGATGGTTGTTTCTGGTCTGACTGGTTTCCTGGATGCTGTTTCAATCTGTCTGACCTCATGTTCATCATTGACCTCTGCAGACCCCCCCTCTGTGATGTAGAGCTCTGTGTAGATCTGGTTCAGAAGGGTTGGGTTTCCTGCTTTAGCAATGCCCTCAAACACACACTGGAACCTCTTCTGCAGGTTAGACTTAAGTTTACGCTGACACACTCCAGTAATTAGTCCTGAATGAACACACAACAAAGCAGATCAATGAGTCAAAGGAATCCTTAAAGAATGAGAAGCCAAATCTTTTTTTCCCCCTCTCTTGAGACTTTAGTCAACATTTATCCAGCTTGTTAAATCTTTCTAGAAACCCTCTTACTGCTCTGCAGACGGTCAGCCAGCTCCTCCTGCTTCATGCTCCTCAGGAAGTGCAGAGAGATGTTCAGAAATGCCTCTCTGCTGCTCCTCCTCTGCTCTTCATCCTCACCGTCCAACACCTCCTCATCCTCCCTCTGGCTCTCTAAGCATTCTGGGTAATCTGAACTCAGAGCCTTCTGGAACTTCTTCAGCTCGTTCTTCACAAAAGTGATGATGTTGTCCTCCAGCAGCTGGAACAGAATACATGAACAACACAATCAAACTAAAGTCACCAAACATCAGATCCATGTTGGACAGACTGACCATCCACTGATCTACAAAGTGCATCATGGAGTTGACTGTGAGCAGAACAGATGTAGAGTAGCTGTAGTTCATGTACAGACCATAAATGTGGAGTCCAGCTGTGTCTGATGCTGCTGGGCAGACTGACCTCTGGGAGCCTCTGAGCTCTGCTGGTCCTCTCTGTGAGGAATCATGAAGAGATAACTCACATTATCTCTGATATGTTTCAGTGGTGGTAAGGAAATAAATATAACTCAGATGAGAAACACTGAAGGTAAACAAGACCTTTATTTCTTTATTTAAAGAAACCTTCATCAGATTCAGAAACAGGTGTATTGCCAAGTTGATTCACACAGACGAGGAGTTTGTCACGGTGTTTATGGTGCTTAAAGCTTTAAAACCTGATACGCCTTATAAATGCTCAAAGCTGCTTTTATTATAAAGGAACCAGAGAAGTGTCTCACCAAGAACATTCAACAGAGCCACACTTTCTTAGCTGGGTCAATGAAACCTGAAAGCAGAGCAGCAGGTACCATGAAGGGGTTATCAACTTTCAATCCTCACCTTTGACCAACAGAGTGTTGTCCATCTTTGAAGCGAATAGGTTCCCCCATAGACCAGTCACTCTTCATGGACACACAGCTGGGCTCAGGTTCCTCCAGGCTCCTCCTGAAACATGAGAAAGAAACAGTTAGGAATCTGGACCGTCACAATGGTCTAAAATACTATTCATATTATCATGTGTTTAATAAACAGGGACCATACATATAAATACATGAATCTCAAAGAAGGGATGAGTTATGCCAGATTAAGATCATTGCTATCTGCAGTCCTTAGACAGGTACGCACATAATGATCCTCAAACACTTAAAACCTCTCCTAGTCTCCATCACTCTAACACTTATACAGTCAGATCAGAGCTCAGAGCACCATATAACAACATGACAATACTTTATTATCAGATCAAGTCTGACATGCTTCTGGCATCACAGTAGCTCCATTAGCAACGTCAACGAGGACAAACATCAAGACAAGAAACAGATATTTACCATAACAACACAGTCACTGAAGACACCATGTTCATCTGACCTGGGATTTCACTCATTACATAATCATGGTTGGGTCAGAGATAATGGGGTTGGCCCGCCTCTAAAGGTTGTGATGGTAGGCTGATTCAGAGAGGCTCTCAAATGTTGACCTACGACCTTTGAGCAGATTCTCTTTTTAAAGCGGTGGACAAACAACTGTACCGTGTAGTAAAATCACAGATAAATAAAACGAGAATGTATCTACTCTCTAGTCTCTATTATTTGTTTTGTCCTTTAGCAGATATATTCAATGTGGTCTTTCTAGAAGAGAAGGGTCTGTCAGGACACCCACGTATTTATAAGAAAGTACCTGCGTGATTTTCTCAGTAAGTGTGACAACAGAGACAGATATATTTACCCTGTTTCATCAGAATACTTAAGAATATATTGATTTGGTGAGCCTGTCCGACCTCGAGTACGGAGCTGTTTGATTGGATCTCAGCAGGTTTGGTTTTCTCCTGCCACCTTTTTCTTTTTCAGTATTCACTATTTTACTGATCTGCAGTAGAACACCAATATATGAGCCACAAAGACAGAGAAGACGGCACATCCAAGAGGGTACTGTGGTGAATGAAGTCATGTATTTATTTGACTACCCAATGCTCTCATTGCCTCCCATGTATTCCTAATGTGATATCTGCTCGTTCTACAGCATGTAGGTCTGAAACTGTACCTTAATGATGAAAGATCACTTTAGTTTGTGGACAAAATGAACTGTATTTATTGTTTAAACAGTGCTTTAAATATGCTACCTGCTATGGTATAGAAGGCTTCTTTTATCGAGCCTGTCTGACACGTTAAACTCTGGCTTCAGGCTGAACACACCTTGGTAGACCCTCCCTCAGCTTCGATAAGAAGTCTCTGTTCTTCAGTAACAACATGTTTTCTACTGCTGCTGATATAATGAAGTCACATGACGTCCACTTACTCTGTCTCTGAAGGGCGGCCTTTAAAATAGATTGGTGCACCGATAGACTGGTTACTCGTCATGGACACACAGCTGGGTCCAGGTCCAGGTCCAGGTCCAGGTCCAGGTCCAGGTCCAGGTCCAGGTCCAGGTCCAGGTCCAGGTCCAGGTCCAGGTCCAGGTCCAGGTCCAGGTCCAGGTCCAGGTCCAGGTCCATGCTGCTGCTCTGGGCTTCAACACACACACACACACACACACACACACACACACACACACCACACACACACACACACACACACACACACACACACACACACACACACACACACACACACACACACACACACACACACACACACACACACACACACACACACACACACATACACACACACACACACACACACACACACACACACACACAACACACACACACACACACACACACCCACACACACACACACAGAGCTTTGAGTGTGAATAATGCCTGCTGAGCTCTGGAGAAGAGGACAGTCAGAGGTCTTCATCTCACCTCTGAGCTTTGGTGAGGCGTTCAGGGTCCCCACTCAGAGCGGGTTCGGTGTCCTCACAGGGATTCATAGCAGAGCTCACACCTTCACACACACACACAACCACCTGCTGGAGAACCACACATTATCTCATCAGGACACAGAGCTCACACCTTCACACACACACACACACACACACACACACACACACAACCACCTGCTGGAGAACCACACATTATCTCATCAGGACACAGAGCTCACACCTTCACACACACACACACACACACACACACACACACACACACACACACACACACACACACACACACACACACACACACACACACACACACACACACACACACACACACACACACACACACACACACACAACCACCTGCTGGAGAACCACACATTATCTCATCAGGACACAGAGCTCACACACCTCCAAACTAAACACATGAGACAGTTCCCATGTTGTTGGCTCTTTGAGCTGCAGCGTCTTAAAGACCCTCTCAATGCTCGGTGGTCTTCAGGACGGTTTGAAGACTTCAGGAATATCCTTCATGTGGATTATTCTTGGCCTTTCGATGCAGATCTCTTCTATTGGACGGACTCTGAAGAGCTCAGCAAGCCTTACAATCTTCCTCTGTTTCAGAGGTTCATATATTTTAAACAGCCAACAGGAAACTGTGTTTGGAGTTCAGAGCAGAAGATTTGGAGGGTACAAAATAAAGATGACGAAAATAAAGTTATTGATTATTTAAAAAAAAGAACAACAAATATATATGTTCTGTATTATTGTATTTCCTTTAATAAAGGAACACACTAGTGGTTTGTGATTGGACAGAGAAGAGTCTGCTTGTTGTCCTGAGTCAGTGGTGAGGACCAATCAGAGCCGAGGAAGCTCCACCAGATGGAGCTGATGGAGGATTTCACTGCTGCACCTTGACTCAGGTGTTGTACTTCAGTTCAGCTTTTCTGTACTTTAGTTCACTTCATTACCTGCTACTTTATACTTCTACCTTTCTACATCCTAGAAGCAAGTATTGTACTTTTTCGGCAGTCCATTTAAGTGATAACTTACGTTAAGAACATGTTGTGTAAAAGTTTCAGATCTAGATTAATAACACTAAATATAATCACCAAATTATCCTGCCTTAACTATATATTAAAATATGATTCCTTGGTGAAAATCATGAGGCACAATGTTCTGTATATGACCTTTATTTAAAAAAGCTCCTCCTTCACCAGCTGTAACATTAAAGTGAACAGACGGATTCATTCATTATTATTATTCAATGATGTGACTCATATTATTATGAACTGGTGCAGAATGAGTACTTTTACTTTTGTACTTTAAGTATATGTTGATGTTTAAACTTGTACTTTAGTGAAGTGTTGAATAGAGGACCTGAAACAGATTATTATCACACTGTGGTTTCACTAATGTTTCTGAAACTAAAGATCTGAGTCCTTCGTCCTCCTCTGAGAGAAACCAGAAACCAGCTGCAGTTCCTCAGAGTGACCACTGGAGGTCGTCCTCCTCCTCCTCCTCCTCCTCCTCCTCCTCCTCCTCCTCCTCCTCCTCCTCCTCCTCCTCCTCCTCCTCCTCCTCCTCCTCCTCCTCCTCCACCTTTAGCTTTTATGTGTGGCCCATATTTCAATTAAATTAAATTAAATTCAAAATAAAAAGTAAAATCCCATTGAGATCAATGATCTCTTTTTCTGCAGAAATATTTGAGCTTCCCGACTGAATTGAACACACCTTTTCTTTTCGTTTGTTGACGTGTTTGGACTTGAGTTTTTTTTTTTACAGTGAACACTAAGAAACAAAATGGTGTTTAACACAGAACACATAAAGAGAAAATTACAACAGAGAAAGAGTCTCTCATAGTTTCATCAGAAACTAAAACCTTAATGTGCTCTGTGAAAACAGAGAAACTTAGAAATATGTTGAAAGTCAGTCAAAGTAGTGAAACAGTTCCCGTTAAATGAGAGTTTATAGAATATATATTATATATATTTGTTTTAAGTCAGTTTATTGAACATGTCAGACACAAAAAACATACAACAATAATATTTATATTCTCTTTTTTCCCTTTTTTTTCTCACTCAAATTAATAATTATAAGAAAGTACAAAAAAAACAAATAATAACAAAAAAAACCAATAATAATTCTCAAGTATTCTAAGATAGTCTCTGTCATGTTCAAATTTATCATCGTCATCAGCGACATGTTTTGTTAATTTGTTTGCTTTTTGTTTTTTTTACAAAACAAATCAGAAAGAAATTACTTTTACATTTACTAGAAATAACAACAAATGGGATTTTACAGGTCCTGTTCATAACCATTAATGATTTGGCTCCTAAACAATACTTTCAGTTTAGATAGACTTGTACAATATTTCAGTGCATCGTTGCAGTTATTCCACAGACTAACACCTCTTGATGAGATGCAACGAAGTTTGGCATTTGTTCGTACGGGTGGTTTTTTGAACATTTAATTTAATTTCAAACCTTTATTTAACCAGATTGATCCCTTGAGGTCATAGATCTCTTTTTCAAGGGAGAAAATGCAGTTTCCTCTCACATGTGCATGCTTTCTCTCCGTGTGAAAAGTCCCTGGATGTTATGAGGTAATTGTTGATTTGCGGTTTTGAACATAATTTGAATAGTTTTATTGTCAACCAGGTCGTGTAGATTTAGTGTTTTTAGTTTGATGAACAATGTATTTGTTGGTTCTCTGTGCGTAGTTTTATGTATAACTCGTATGGCTCTTTTTGCAGGATGAAGATAGGATGTGTATTTGTTTTATATGTGTTCCCCCAAAACTTCCACACAATACATCATGTATGGAAGTATGAAGGAGCAGTACAGCAGATACAGATATTGGCTGAAAGTACATGTTGTAACTTTACAGTCTAGTACAAGTGCACTTCTTCATGATCAGGACACATGTAGTAACAAGGTGAGAAAACTGCATTAAGACATTTGAACTTCACTGTTTAGACTTTAGAGCAGAGTTCCTGAGGGGGGGTCAGGAGGGCGTGTTGATCGACCAATGAAACGCAGCCAGAGTCTCTCAGGTGTTTCAGGAGCAAAGGCCCAGGTGAGCTCTCTGATGGCTGCTGGGTCCTAGTGCCCTCCTTCTGCCTCCCCCTCCACATCAGTAGCCCTCCTGACAGACTGACCCCCATCAGCCTGAACTCCTCTTCCTCCTCACAGGGAACTCTTTAAACTAACCTGCACTCTCTCTCTGCTCTCACAGCTAGGAGGCCATCTTGTTTCCCAGCTTTAAACAATCACACGTTCATCAACTCAAGCGTTTCTGCGACAAAAACAATCAACAACGTCATGTCAACCAATCACAGCTCTACTTACTGAACTGTTAGCCGTGAGATTCATCAGTAGCAGCCTCGTCTGAGCTTCATCAACTTCAGCGTCCATCAGACGAAGTGAAGTGAAGGCGCTTCCTATCCTGAGTGTGTGTGTGTGTGTGTGTGTGTGTGTGTGTGTGTGTGTGTGTGTGTGTGTGTGTGTGTGTGTGTGTGTGAGTGTGTGTGTGTGTGAGTCATCACCTCACTTTTTACAGTTAGCAGTCCGACTGGTTGGACGAGTCTCAGTCTGTGCTGCGTTCACAGGATCACATGTGTTTGTGAATATAGTCGGGAAGGGATCTTTAACAGAGTTTCCTGCTCCTCTAACCTGCAGTGCCTTTTATCAAAGCAGGAAGTTATTACATTTGTTTAATTTTGCAGAATAATGTCAGATTGGACTCTTTGCAGCCTCTGTTGTGGAAAGTTCTGCTTCCTGGACACAGCTTGAATAAATAAGTTAATGAAAACAACACAAACTGATCTCATCACTGCTCTTTGGTGATCTGGTTTTTCATTTGTAAAGTAACCGCAGCTGTCAGATAAGTGTAGTCCAGTAAAAAGTACAACATGTACCTCTGAGATGAGTACAGGTATCTCACTCTCATTTCCCTCTCGACCGCCCTTCCAAAGTGTGTTATCTCCACCATCTCACCCACATTTCCGTGCCTATTGCCTCACACCAAAGTTCACTTTGTCATGCTGGGGATTGTCAACTTTCTGACTCTTACGGCCCGGACACTCCAAGCTGACACCAAAGAACTGACACAGACGGACTCCTGACTGTTGCGTAGCCTCACGTCTCTGCGTCTTGGCCAACAGTCGCTCTGGAACACACCGCAAAGACTTCAGCCGACGGCCAAGAAGCACGTACGAAACGCGCATGCGTGAGTGGCAATAACTCTCCTTACCAGCAGGCAGCGGTAGTGTGTGTTCGTCATTCAAAAGAGGCAACCAGAAGACAGACTGCGTGATACACAGAGAGAAGAAGAACAGACTGCGTGATATAAACAAACAACAAATAGCGTTCCAGATATATGTATGTTTATGTTTATGCATATTGGATAAAAATCGTTATTGCATCCTTTAGATTTGAGACCGAAAGACATATAGAAGAACGGACCGACTGTCACTGCCCGTCCCTGAAATCCCTGTTAGTGTTTGTATGTGTTTGTTTCTACTGTGTGTCTCCCCCCAAAACGTTACTTTCACAGCTGATTCCGAGTCTGATTCTGTGTCCCCTCCAGTACATGTGACACCGACAGTGACTTGTACTAGCTGCAGGTCGCATTTAAAAAAAGAAAAGAAAAAAGACTTCTGATAAATCGTAACGATAAAGCACGTTATCCTTCTCTAAAATAATAACACTCTGGCAACATAAAAAAATCTAACTTGCAGCTGAAAACGTTTTCAAGCATTTAAAGAACGTTATCCGACCTTTCAGAAGAACATTCTGGGAACCAAAAGAAAACGTCCCGCTGAAAATATTCCTAGAACAGTGAATGGTAACATTCTCAGAATGTTTTTAGAACCAAACGTTTCTAGCTGGGATGTTTTAAAGAAGTTTTTAGATACGTGAGTCGTAAAAGAACATTTTAGCCTTGGACTAATAAATAAAGCATTAGAAATTACGTCATGTGGGACCTCATCCTTCACCAGAACACGCAACATTTGTACCCGGGAATAGTGTTCAAAACCTGGGTACATTAGTGTTAAAAGTCGGGCAAACTGTTTTAAATCGGGTGGAGAGGGTCCTGCACTCATTATTTTTGTTTTAAAATAGTGTACATTTTACTGCATAAACATTTGGTGTTATGAACATATTCACGTCAGTATGGACGGATACATTGCTATTTAGGCCAAATTTAATTCATCAAATGTACAAGAAGATAAAAACAGCAGAGTCACTGCTGTTTGCAGGGTCTGGGACTCACAGGCACATATACAGAGATCCAAGGTGATGCATCTCGCTGTCTGACCCAGAGAAGAGGGCTCTGATCAGGGCTAAAGTCTTGTTAGAAACTGCTGAATCTGTTTAAATGCAGGCAGCAGAGTCACTGCTGTTAGCAGGGTATGAGACTCACAGACACACAGGTAGCCCCCATGGTAAATTCACCTCTTCTTGCGCGCTATTCAAGCCTCACATGGCGGACTCCTGACTACCAGCAGACCCTCTAAACACCCACACATCCATAACCACGGGCACCGTGAGTCCCCGGGCCCCCGCACTTAAGTATACCCCCTCGGACTAAACCCAGCATCCACACCCGCTAGAACCTCGCGCCCCTGGTAAGACTAAAAAGGGGGTCGATTTTGTGGTGGTCTCCCGGCCATCCTTAAGCATCCATCTGCAGACACCTGAACCCCAGACACTCAGACACTTTTCATAGTTTTAGGTTACCAGGGGAAAGCTTGTCTGGCCGTTATGCACATGGGATTTTTGTCTGAGGCAGTGTGCTTGAGTCAGGGTCCCCGGGCACTCACGGTGCGCATGGAGGTGCGAGCACTTTAACTTTTTTCCACCTCTGTCCTATTTTGTTTGCATGTATCCCACAGATACAGGCTGTTGTCAGCACCAAGGACAGCGCATCCCCGCTGCTGATGGAAAAGCATCCATGTTGGTGCCCCTGGGAAGCGCCAGTGTGGAAGAACCGAGGGACTAGGGGAAGAAAATGTGTCCGAAATCCATCACTCATAAGTCCCCTGTCGACCCCTGGTCCGTTTATCTCTTCAAAATGTGAAAAAGTGGAAAAAAGCACATTCAGGAAAAAGGTGTACATCGGAGCCCGAATATGACACACTTTGATCAGTCAGAATAAGTCCCCTGTCGACCTGGTCCGACCAAGAGAGGGCTTAGGGTGCCCCAGAACCAGGCAGCACCCCAGCTGGAACTGGGTGTGATGGTCAAAGAGGAAAGAGTGATAGAATATCCCACACCACGCCACTCCTCCGCTCCCTTCACTGGCTTCCAGTATCTGCTAGAATCCACTTCAAGACAATGGTACTTGCGTACCATGCTGCGAATGGATCTGGCCCTTCCTACATCCAGGACATGGTTAAACCGTACACCCCAGCACGTGCACTCCACTCTGCATCAGCCAAACAGCTCGCTGCACCCGCACTGCGAGGGGGACCCAAGTTCCCATCAGCAGAAACACGTGGGTTTGCTATCCTGGCTCCAAAATGGTGGAATGAGCTCCCCATTAAATTCAGGACAGCAGATAGCTTACACACCTTCCAGACTGAAAACTCATCTCTTTCGACTCCACTTCGAGCGATAGAATTATTAACAAAGCACTTATATACTAATAAAGGACTGGCTTATCTAAAGCCAGTTGAGTAGCACTTGAAATGTTTTTGCTCTATGAAGCCTGATGTACTTTATGATTCTGTTTTCTTCAAGTTTGTATTTTGTTGGTCGAATGTACTTATTGTAAGTCGCTTTGGATAAAAGCGTCAGCTAAATGCAATGTAATGTAATGTAATGTAATATGTGTGTGTGTATATATATACACAACCCCCAACGCGGAGCTGGTGATGGCAGCATTGGGTCCGATGCATCAATTCATGGTGCCCCGACCAAGAGAGGGCTTAGGGTGTCCCGGAACCAGGCAGCAGCCCAGCAGGAAACGGGTTTTATGGTCAAAGGAGGAAAGAATAATAGAACCGGAGTAAAGCTAAGAAAGGGTCCGACAATAGTGACTTGTGAGGTGGCCAGAGAGTCTGTCATATCTCGGTCCTATCCTCCAGACAACGCGGTGGCCAGAACTGGATGAAACTGAGCAAAAAGTTAAAAAAATAAGTTCAAATTCATCCATCAAAAAATGCATGAAAATGAAAGAGTGTATCCAAAAATAGTGACTTGTGAGGCGGCCAGAGAGTCTATCATCTCTCGGTGCTATCATCCAGGGGTAAATATTTATTAGAACCAGGGTGGGGGGTCCGAGCCATCTTCAGTCCGTGTTAGGTGCATGATTTTGCAGAGTTCAGTGTTCACTTCCCCTTGCATTCCTCCAGAGTCACATTAGTCAGAGTAAAGTTTTTTGAGAACAGGGCCAAACAGGTCAAAATGAAAAAATGTATCTGAAAATAGTGCCTCATAATGCGGGTAGAGTCCCCTGTCAACTCCCCTTACATTCCTCCAGAGGCACATTTGTAAAGTTAAAGTTCTGTGAGAACCAAGCTGGGGGGTCTTCAGGCACAAAATAAGGCTGACCCAGAGTGCATGGTGAGCGGACACTTCACCTCCGTGTTTGCAGACAGCCATTTTTTTTCTGAGTGAACCCAAAAACCGGGTTTCCGATTTCGTACAGACGGTAGTCCGAAATGTATCGATGAATGTTTTTGACGGAGAAGGGGAAATGAAGCCCCGGACACTTTTCCACTTCTCCGTTGCAACTTTTCTAGCCCAAAAATATATAATACAAATACATTTAAATAGTAAAAGGTACAATTCTGCTCCGAATTACCCGGAATTTGATTTATATAGCCCCATGATCGTGATTATAAATCATTTTCATGGAAAGAAGTTTTAAAATGCATGATTAAAGCATATGCAGGACCCAGATGTGCTCCAGAGTATGTGCATTGTTTCAGGGAACCATATTAATGATATAATAAATGCATTTAAATGCAAAAATCATGATTTCAAATAATTTTAGGGGGAAAGTGGTGTAAATGGAGACAGAGTGTACCCAGACAGCAGCATGCAGCACCTGGCTTTTCAACCCAGGAAATAGTGTTTGAAACGTCGGCAAAAGTCCAAGGCTGACTGCTAAAATATGAGCAAACTGTTTTAATTCAACAGGAGAGGGTCATGCACTTCTTCCCCAGAGAACAGGGCTGCAAACCTGACTAAGTGAGAGTTAAAAGTAGATTAAACTGTTTTAATTCAACAGGAGAGGGTCATTCACTCATTATTATTGTTTTTAGACAGTGTACATTTGACTGCATCAACAGTCGGTGTTATGACCATATACATGTCAGTATGGACTGGAAACTGTCCATTTAGTCCACATTTAAGTCATCAAATGTACAAGAAGATAAAAACAGCAGAGTCACTGCTGTTAGCAGGGTCTGGGACTCACAGGCACATATACAGAG